TCCAGTTTAGGTGTAGGGAGGAAGATGTAGAACTCAGGGTTAGGATGCCAAAGCCTGCTTCCTTCCCAGCATTCTGGGTCCCCTCTCTGCCTAGTGCCTGGAGCTATTAATAACACCTTAAATGAGGTGGGTGGGAATGGTATCTCAGTTGCCCACGTCAGTTGGACTCTAACAGGTAGGGGCAGAATAATAATAGCAAACACTAATGCAGCGGTGCTTGCTGTGTGCCAAGTACCACTTAGTAATTTACATAACGTGCATGTGTTAACTCATTTAATGTAGACAGGTACTGTTATTATCCTGTTTAACAGATAGGAAACTGAGGCACAAAGGCATTAAAAGGCATTATCCTGTCCTTATATCTGTTTTGCTGGTTCGAAGTCTTCAGGTCCAGGCTCTAGTTCTTCCCTTTTCTCTGGTTTGGCCAGGCTTCGGATGCTGACTACTCTGGAGTCTTCTCATGTGCCTCATGATGGCAGATTTGGTGGAGGGAGATAAGGGTGACCATGAACAGATAGAATTTAGGTTCCATCCTGCTTCCCTCCAGGTTCTGGCAAAGGCAGAGAGAGGCATGGAACAGTATTTTGGGAGAGCTCCCATGTTTTCCTTATTGCCACTGTCACCCTAGACGACCCCCCAGCAGTGGACTCTGTTGGCTGGTCCCTGGTCCATGCCACACTGGCCTCGCCTATTACGTTGCAGTCTAGCACATCCCAAAATTAATCTTTTCTACCATGCAAGAGAATTTCAGATGCAAACTTGGAGCGGGTAGGAAAGGCACAATATCTGTTCCAGGGCTTAAAATATTTCACAATCCCTTCCAGGCATTCCTTGTCTTAAGAGCCTGTGTGACTTTTTAGTGAGAAGACCCTTCCTTCAAACTCAGACCCTCGGAGCTGTAGTCCTGGGCCTTTGGCTTCCTCTGTCCTTGTCCATGCCGGAGATGTGGGGCCTTTCCCAGGTGACCCTCTTGGCTTCTGGCTAAACCTGCCCACATCTCTGCTGGTGGCCCCTGGCAGCAGCCTGGGAATCCTGTTTTCTCTCCTCTCCCGTCTCTTCTCTGGCATGGAACTCAGGCACCTCCCCGGCTGTTCTTTACTTAGCCCTGTACTCCAGATTAGCACATTCTTGAGTTCCTCTCTCCAGGCTCTCTGCACACCACAGCTGTCTACAAAGCCTCTTTGGCTCTTCATGGCTCTGCTGTATGAATTCAGTCAGCCTGCCTGACCGATTTGAAGGTCTTGTGGTCATTGCTTGCATTGATTTTCCTATACATTCAGGGACTTATGATAAACATGTGCCTGGATGTCAATTACCAGTCTTCATGGGAAATTCTTATTAGGTTTCTCTTAGAATTGAAAAATATTACTCTTTCCAATTTGCTTATTTTGTTAAATTGAATCCAGTTTTACAGATGAGAAAACCTTTTCCAGAAATGTAGATTGGCTTCCCTGCCTGATACAAGCTGGGGAGTTCAGAACTAGGATGCGAATTATGTGTATTTCCCAAGGCCAGGTTTGTTGTACTAGGTCTGTCTGGCTCCTCTACCAGATGAAGAATTGTGTATAAGCCTGGAGGTGGAATGTGAACCCAGGCTTTCTGACTGCAATTCTCTTTTGCCTGATGCTGGACACTCTTATAGTGTCTAAGGCAAAACAAAACAAAACAAAACAGAACTTTGAGTGTGTGCTCTGGGTTCATGAGAGGCTGAGGGGCATGAACTTGGATTTGGGCTTTGTTGCATCCTCATTTCTTACAGATCCGGTTGGTTCAAGTATAGAGCTGGATCCCAGGTGGACTTATGATAAACATGTGCCTGGATGTCAATTACCAGTCTTCATGGGAAATTCTTATTAGGTTTCTCTTAGAATTGAAAAATATTACTCTTTCCAATTTGCTTATTTTGTTAAATTGAATCCAGTTTTACAGATGAGAAAACCTTTTCCAGAAATGTAGATTGGCTTCCCTGCCTGATACAAGCTGGGGAGTTCAGAACTAGGATGCGAATTATGTGTATTTCCCAAGGCCAGGTTTGTTGTACTAGGTCTGTCTGGCTCCTCTACCAGATGAAGAATTGTGTATAAGCCTGGAGGTGGAATGTGAACCCAGGCTTTCTGACTGCAATTCTCTTTTGCCTGATGCTGGACACTCTTATAGTGTCTAAGGCAAAACAAAACAAAACAAAACAGAACTTTGAGTGTGTGCTCTGGGTTCATGAGAGGCTGAGGGGCATGAACTTGGATTTGGGCTTTGTTGCATCCTCATTTCTTACAGATCCGGTTGGTTCAAGTATAGAGCTGGATCCCAGGTGGTGGTCACTAGGCTACAGACAGAAACCCAGCCTACAGTTATGCTGGTGACCTGTGCTGGCAGCATCACATGCTCCAGCCTCAACACAGACATGATGGAGAGACTCCTGTGCTATGGCAGCTTGCTAGTTCAGTGATGAGCGTCTGTCTAATAACAAAGTACTCTTAGAGGTGTTTGTTATTTCATTAGCTGCTTATAATGGCTTTAGAAGGGAGGGAGCCAGGTAGGTATTATCCTTGCCACCCAACCTATAGATATAAAATGGGAAAAGGAAGATAAAGACCTTTCCAAGGTTATGCAACCAGAAATTGATAAAATTCCAGGCCTGGGCTGTGGTTTTTCCTGATTGTAAATCCGTAACCTCATGTTGCCTCTGAGTTAATGTGACAACTTTGTTTCTTCCTTTCTGGGCCTCAGTTCCTACATGCCTGTAGGGGGCGATAGAGGTCTTTCCTGTTTGGCTGCTCTGAGAACTTTTGCTCCTGAACACTTTGAACTTACCAGTCTTACAGCACTTTATCTTAGTGAGTTATAAACATTTTCTATGTGCCTATCTCCCTTATTTACCCCGCCACTCCTAGCCTGAATTCTTTCAGATCAGGACCCTTCTATTTGATCTTGACATCTAGCATAATATGTGACCCATAGTAGGAGCTCAGTAAATGCTTGTGGAATTAAGTTACATGCATGTGAAATTAGTCAGTTCCTCCTCCTACTCCTCATAGAACTTGGGGAAGGAAAAGAAACTTTTTTCCTGGTCTATCCAAATGAATGAAGTTGAGCAGGGCAGAACTCAGCACCTGTGCAGTGCCCTCAGAAGGCCACTAGGTGGCAGTGTGACCACATGGGGACCTTGCTTTCTGTCTGCCCTCTAGGAGGCTGAATTAATTAACAGGGTGCCTGTTTGGGGATTGCCTCTGCCAAGATAGTATGCAATTGGCGGTAGGTCTGAGACTGACAAGTCTCAGCCTCCACTCCTCTAAAAGCTGTGTGGCATAGTAGAAAAGGCTGGGCTTTGCAATCTACCAGGCCTGGATTCCAACTCTGGCTTTGCCTTTCCCCAGATTCTGAGCCTGGGACACACTGCTTCTCTGAACCTCGGTTTCCTCATCCTGTAAAATGGCAACTGTTGTACAGTTAGAAAAAGTCGAGTATATCATGGGCCACAGCATAAATGAATGCTAGTTTTATTGTTGGAAAGTCCCATGTTTGCCTTTCACTGCCCTCTGTAATCTGGCTCCATGCTGGCCATCTTATCTTACTTACGAAGCTTCATGTACTTTCCAGCAGGTCTCTTAGCCCTCCCTGCTGCATCACTCACTCAGCCAGCTGCGCTCCATCTCAGCCCAGTTCCTGCCGGTTTCCTGCCTAGAGGCCTTCCGTTCTGCGTGTTCACTTCTCAGCCCGACTGTCCCTCACAGCCCCCGCTTCTAATGTCCACGGCAGTTGGGGTGTGTGCTGTATAGGGCTAATCTTGACTTCCCACAAAGTTGGTAAATCTGTAAGAGTCCTTGTATTAATTATTTTGGCATCTGTGCTGTGCACTTAGCAAGACATTCTGTAATGAGATTGACAGCTACTATTATTGAGCACACACCAGGGACTCTGCTAGGTGTTCGGCAGAATTATTTCATTTAATCTTTACAACAAATCTGTCCTGTGGTACCAACGGATGTATCAGGATGCTTTTGGTTCTTACCAAAAAAACTTCATGAAGGATGCTTGGTGATGTCAGCCAAGATCCAGGTAGTTGCCATCACCCTGGTTCCCTTCCTCAGTGTGTTGGTTTATTCTCTTAGGCTCCTTCCCCTTATGGTACCAAGGTGACTGTTACAGTCTCAGGTGCCATATGCAGGAGGAGTGGTGTATGGTCCTTGTGCTCCCTTTCAGAGGCCTCTCAGCAGATTTCCTACAAAGTTCGTGGCTAACATAGGGTCTTAGGCTTGTTCCCAAGCTAGTTATTGGCAAAGGGCCTGAGTCGAGATTCAGCCCCCGAGACTCATGAGGGATCCAGGCTCCATTAATGCCCCTGGCCACCTGGCCCACAAAAGAGGAGGGGATATGAATGAGGCTCGGAGTTAATAATTTGCTCAAGGTCGCAAACCTTGTAAGAACCAGGATTCGAACTACATCGGGCTGACTCCGAGACCATCTGTTGGTTGAATGAAGTAAACCTCAGAGGTAGAAAGACCGTTGCTTGGGATTTGGTGTGCTGGGTTTGAGGGATGGCGGAGGTACCTTTTCCTATAGGTTCTTGAGTCTCTTCTCTCTCTGGGCCCGTCCATTGTTGGATTGGTGTTCCTCTTCTGTCTTTCTCCCATGCCTCCATTTCCCCTGCCTTCCAGTGCCCAACTGCTGCCTGCTTTCTCGAATGGACTTCATGCCCTTAGCTGGAACTAGTCAAGGGCTGATCTCAGGATAGCTGTCAAGGCCCCACGAAGGGTCATATTGAGGTTTCTTTTAAAGCAGATAAGGGAGCTGTAAAGCTGTAAGTCAGCATTTAGGAGAAGGAGATGCTAGGGAAGATGCCAGGGGGCTTGTAGAGGGCCAGCAGTAGTGAGGAGTTCGTGGTGGATCAGTGGGGATGTCGTCAGGCTTGTGGGCCAGGACTTTGGAATAGGCCCACGTGGGGCAGCGGGCAGCGGGCCCTTGTGGAGACTGCAGTTATTCAGGAGGCTGTTGCCTTGCAGATGCTTCAGGACTGCCCGAAGGCCCGGCGCGAGGTGGAGCTGCACTGGCGGGCCTCCCAGTGTCCACACATCGTGCGGATCGTGGATGTTTATGAGAACCTGTATGCGGGGAGGAAGTGCCTGCTGATCGTCATGGAGTGGTAAGTAGCCTTACCTATTCTGTTCTTGGCTCAGCTTTTCCCTACTCCTTGCCCAGGCCCCTCACCTTCTGAGGACTGCCCAGATGTGCCTGAAGCTTAAAATGTAAATGCTTGATTTTTTTGTGGGGAACAGTGGAGAGTGTTGGCAGGCTGTTGTGTTCCCCAGATCTAACTGTGGCTTTGTTTCAGTTTGGATGGTGGAGAACTCTTTAGCCGAATCCAGGACCGAGGAGACCAAGCGTTCACAGAAAGAGGTAGAAAAGGTCTATTGTGGGACAGGCCTTGGGGAGGCAGGGCAGAGAGGTGTCTGAAGGGGACCCTCTGCAGTGCCTGCCATCGTGAGAGACCTGAGGCCTGCTGTCTCCCCCAGCGTCCTCGGCTGAGCCAGAGTGGCTCCTTATGCCTTGGTTTCTGGGGTGGGTGGTGGATGGAGGGAGCCTTAGGCTGCATGGGGGAGGAATCAGTGTATTGGGTTTTCAAACCTAATGACACATCTGGTGACTTTCTTTTTCTCTCCCATCTTCTCTCTTCTCTACAGAAGCATCAGAAATCATGAAGAGCATCGGTGAGGCTATCCAGTATTTGCACTCAATCAACATTGCTCATCGGGATGTCAAGGTACCAGCTGTTCATCATGTCCCCCGGACCACCTCGCCTGAGGTGCTGCAGAGGGCCCCGGGGTCATAGCGACCCTGGGAAGGTTGCCAGAGTTGTCCTGCATCCTTGCTGCCTGGTTCCTGGGGGCGGAGTGGCGCGGGGTGCCATTCTTCGCTCTGGGGGCCCTGCCCTCTCTGGCCAAACCCCAGAACTCAGTAGTGAAGCCTCTGTGACCGTGCCCAGCTTGGTGGTCCTCTGAGTCAGTACCACACAGTCACACTTTTGGTTTCTCTGTCCCTGTGGTATTTGGTGCTGGTTCTCTGCATTAGTCTCTTATCTCCAAGTGCACCATGAGCTCTCGGGAGACAGGGAGCTGGTCACATTTAGCCAACATCGCTTACAGTGTGTGGATCACAGGGGCTGGACAGTGTTGTTGTCTGAGGAAGGAAGGAGGGTTTAGCCTTTTGATTTCTCGGGGCCCCTCACAGATTCACAGGGTTGTTATTTCTCTGTCCCCCTTTCTGTAGCCTGAAAATCTCTTGTACACCTCTAAAAGGCCCAACGCCATTCTGAAACTCACTGATTTTGGCTTTGCCAAGGAAACCACCAGCCACAACTCGCTGACCACTCCTTGTTATACACCGTACTACGTGGGTGAGTACGAGGAGGCCCATGGGCTCGTCCTTCCCCAGAGCTTTTCGCAAACCCTCCTCTTGCTGGTCTCAGAGCCACAGGTCCTAGGAGACTCCTGTCCTCAAGTTCTTCCTGGCTCTGGTTCTGCTGCAGCCTGGCCCGAAGTGGGGCTCATCAGAGTTAGGCTGGGATTGAGGCGTCCCAGAAAGTTGTCTGCCTGAGATAGCGGGCACGATTTTACACACGTGGGCACTTTCCCGAGAAGAGCTGTCCTTTCCGCCTGATTCTCAGTGGAGTCGAGACACAGATTTGGCTCTGCTGGCCCAGCTATGGTGCAGGATACACTTTCGGAATGTGTGTGTCCAATTGAATGAACATTGTAGGTCCGAGAGGCTCTTGCAGTTCAAAGTTGTTTCGTCTTAAGATTCTAGCCCTTGGATTCCTCTGGGAGGATGGTCGTGCTCTCCCCCGTCCCACCCTGGGCTGGATTACGGCTGTTCTGCTCCCACCCCCAGCCACGGTCCCGTCATGATAGTCCAAAGGGTCGGAATGGGGGCGTCATCTCTAGAGAAACTGGGATGGATCACAGTGTTCTGAGGGCCGGACCCATCCACGTTGACCTTTGGTTTGCAGCTCCAGAAGTGCTGGGCCCAGAGAAGTATGACAAGTCCTGTGACATGTGGTCCTTGGGTGTCATCATGTACATCCTGTGAGTGTGCTGGGGTGGGACCGGCGAGGGAGGGGGTTGGGAGGAGGTGTCTGCCTCTCCCGGCCGAGAGGAAGAAGCAGAGGTTAGCATTCCTCTTCTGGATGGGGCAGTCCCTGGGAGTCCCCTGCATGTCCCCTTCTCTCAGTGCTTAGCAGGTTCTCATAGCTAAGTTGCGGGTATAAACTAGCTAATGGGCAGGAAAATGTGGACTTTAGATATTTGGTTTGTTGGATTTCTGGGCCCTCTCCTTGAATCAACGAACCCCAATTTCTCTGTGACCTTTACAAGAAGAAGTCTGTTTTTCACCTTATTCCTGGTGCAGGGCCCTTAAATAACACCAGCTCTGCCCCTCTCTTCCTGCTTCCCCTCGGCTCAGGCTGTGTGGGTACCCACCCTTCTATTCCAACCATGGCCTTGCCATCTCTCCGGGCATGAAGAGTCGCATCCGAATGGGCCAGTATGAATTTCCCAACCCAGAATGGTCAGAAGTATCAGAGGAAGGTACGGAGCCCATGTGTGCATGTCCGTGCGTGTTGCTGTGCACACGTGCAGGTGTGTGTGGGCATCGTCTCATGTCAGTGGTGAGCCACGGGTCTGGCCGTACCAGCCGGTTATGTGCTGCCTGTATGAAGGGTCTGTCAGGTGGGGCAGCGTGATGGTCCTCTGGGTGGCTCCTTGGGCAGTTGGCCCCCATGTGACACTCAGCCCCCGCCCCTGGTTTCTCCCTGAAAAGTGTGGGAAGGAGCAGGAGACAGAGAGTGGCCCCTGAGCTGTCTCTGTCCCCTGCCCCACCCCACAGTGAAGATGCTCATCAGGAACCTGCTGAAAACAGAGCCCACTCAGAGAATGACCATCACAGAGTTTATGAACCACCCTTGGATCATGGTAAGCCTGGCAGGTTGGAGACACCTTGGCCCTGGGGGACTGTCCCTTGGGACGAGGGCTTAGCCAGGACTCTGCCCTGCCCAGGTTTCCACTTGGACCCTTTTTCTCTCCCCTCAGCAATCAACGAAGGTCCCTCAAACCCCACTGCACACCAGCCGGGTCCTGAAGGAAGATAAGGAGCGGTGGGAGGACGTCAAGGTGAGGGACCCCCTGGCCAAGCAGGGCTTGGGGAGGCAGCTCATGGGGACGCCCAGGTTACATGATAGTGCTGGCCGGGGAGGGTTTAGTTCTGCATTTTCTCACCCCAGAAAATGTCTGTTAGAACAAGAACAGCGACTCCGAGCCTCTTCCCTGACCATTTAGGGCAGAGGATTCTGTTTCGGTCTAAACTCGACTTGGCTGTTTCCTACAACCTCTCTACTCCCCGAGTCTCTCAGGCAACCTGAGAGGCCACCTGGTGCTATCTCTTCATTTTGCAGATGAGAAAACTGAGGCCCAGAGAAGGGGAGTGACCTGTTGAAGGTCACACAGCTAGTACCTGGCTGGGGCAGACCAGAAGCCAGGTCTCCTGACTCTCTGCCTTCCCGTGGGGTCGCTGGAGTGGAGGCAGCGCCGGCCGGGCTCTGCCGACCGAGCTCGGTGCTGCGGCTGCTGTCAGCCCGAGACCCACTCGCCAGCCGCCTCCTTCTTTCTGCTCTCCCCTCGGCCATCCGGCCCTTGCTGTGCTCTCACGTCTCTTGGTGTAACCCTCTTCCCCCCAGGAGGAGATGACCAGTGCCTTGGCCACAATGCGTGTCGACTACGAGCAGATCAAGATAAAAAAGATTGAAGATGCGTCCAACCCTCTGCTTCTGAAGAGGCGGAAGAAAGCTCGGGCCCTGGAAACCGCGGCCCTGGCTCACTGAGCCGCTCAGCCCATCCTGCTCCACTGGAGGACAAGCAATAACTCTCACCCTGAATATATTTTTTAAATGAAGAGACACAGACTGTCCACTGCTGCCTCCCCTCCTCGGCTGCATGGACCCAGAGCCTCGTGAGAGGTTGAATTCTGCCTTGGATTCTGGCCGCCCCAGAGAGGGAGAGGCTGGGAGGTCGGGAGGATGTGGAGAGAAAGGAGCAAGATGCTCTTGAACCTGTGCTCATTTTGCAGTTTTATCAGTAATTTGACTTAGAACTTTTATGAAACTTCTTTTATTGTTCTTTCCCCACTCTTCTTCCCCGCCCAAAGCCCTTCCTCTTGTTAAAGGATGTTTGTGGAAACTGTTGTAGGGAGTGTCCCCATTTCATCCCATCTGCCCATTTTCCCACTACAGCCTGAGGCTGCCTCTGGCTGAAGCGTTCTGAGAGCTCAAGGCCATGGAGGGCTGAGGCCAGGATGCCACCTGCCTCCCCTGCCGGAGCCCTCAGGCATCACCAGTGTGCCAGATGGATAGGAGTGAGTGCGGTGTGTGTGTGTGTGTGTGTGTGCGTGTGCGCACACGCACCTGTGACGTGTGCCTGGGACTGTGCATTTGTGGGGCCAGGGGCAGGCAGGGCTGCAGAGAGAGAGGCCCTTCTACCTTTGGCCGACTCTGCCCTCGTCGAGCCTGCCACAGTGCCTGCCTGGAAGCCTGTCTAGACTCTGAGCCGGGCCCTCCATGGCCTGCCTCTGGTAGTGGTTTCGAGAGGTGGAGAGGAGTGACTTGGGCACTGGCCCACAGTCAGGGAGACTGGACCCTCTGCCCCTAGGACCCTGACTCCCCACTTAGTGCTTCCTCGTCCTCTGAGGCGCTGATCTATCAAGTAACTTCTACTTCCCCTTCCTGCCATTATTAACCCATTCTTATTTTTTCTTACATTTTTAGCCATTTCTCAGGCCTCCTTTCAGCTCATGTGGATGAGCCTGGGCAGTTTATAAGTGGCACAGAGCTTCTGCGTTGTGCCTTGGCCCTGGGGGCGTCAGCCAGCTACCCCCCCTGGACCAGGGCAGCACCACTTCTGTGGTCCGCCCGCATTGTCCATTGTGTGGCTTAGTGGGTGGGTGGGGGCGGTCTTCGTACCAAAGATGTCCCGACTCTGCCCCTTCCCCATTAGCCACTTCAACCCCCTCCCCTCCGCAAACAACTTGGCTTCATGTGTCCAGGCAAGTGAGGGGAGGGGGGGTCCCCCAGTATTGCCGGGGAGCAGCATGAGGAGAGGTCCTCTGTGCCATGGTCTCTTTGGGGCGGGAGTGGCAGTGATACTCCAGCTTTCATCTCCCTCAGGGCAGGGTGGCGAGGGGCACCCAGGGGCTCCTCTGGCGTGGAGGAAGGGCTCTGAGTGCCTGTAGCACCTCCCGTGTCTAATGGTGTGTCCAGCACTCAGATTGTTGTAAACTTGTTGTTTTGTATGAGCGAAATTGTCTTTACTAAACAGATTTAATAGTTGAAAGTTCTTTCTCTTCCTTCATGGGGCTCAGACCCTTGACCCTCCTACCTCTCCCATTCCCACGCGTGGAGAGCCGTCGTGTGTGTCGGGAGGGCAGAGGCTGCGCGTCCTGGGAAAGGGGAGGAGAGGAGGGCAGGGCCTCCGGGGTGACCGGGAGCCGGCGCCTGCCCTGTCGCCCTGTCGCCCTGTCGCCCTGTCCAGGGCTGGCTGGGTCAGGCCTGGTGCCCGCCCATCACTGCCGTTCTCCTTTAAGCAGGCGGGGGCACCAGTGAGGGCGAAGGAGCACACGCCCTTTTGCCAAATACTGAACCAGGAGCCAAGGCGCTTATGATTCTTTGACCTATTCAGCCATAGCCAGACATTGGCACCCTCGGCCTGGCGGGACCAGCTGGCTTGGGGGGTCCAAGGAGAAGAGGGTGGTGGTGGTGTGGTTCAAATCTTGGGAAAGAGACCTGGGGAGCAGGTTGGTGTAGTTCCTGAAAGTTCCACGAGGGGGCGATAGGGGCCAGGCAGAAACCAAAATACATCAGAGCTGGAAGAGGCCTCAGGGTTCATGGGACCCATTCCCCTCCACTCACAGATGAAAAGACTGAGGCCCAGAGTGGGATATTTGCCCCATGATGACCTGGTTTGCAGTAGGGCCTAAGGTAGAAATTGATCTACTGACTCCACTGTTCTCCCCGCCAGATGGTAAAATGGTGCATCCTAGATAATTTCACATTTTCTCACGTGATCCTCAGAGCTGTCGGGGAGACAGGTGAGGCAGGGCGGTTATCCCTGTTTGGTGAATGAGGAAACCAGTGGAGAGAGTAAAGGAATGTGCCAGAGGCCAAACGGCTAACTGGTTTGGACTAGGACTTGAGATCCCAGGCCTGGGTGTCTCTTCCCTCAGACCCCGTCTCCCTTCTGGAGGAGAGGCCTCCTCATCCATTCAGTCATCAGTCGGCTCACGTCCCCTCCGCTCAGGCTCATGGGTACAGGCAGCGTGGCCCCTGGTGGCCCCATGACCTCCCCTTTATAACTCCTGAATGGATCGCTATGGTTCGTTCCTATTTTGAAACTCTACCTATCACTTCGAAACCACTTTTTGGATGAACCAGCATGAGGCTTTGCTTTCAGAGAAATCTAGTTGTCTGAGCTTATGAAGGTGTCAGAAGTGATAACTTAGGGCAGAGGAAATAAGATTAGTAAGTAGGGAATCAGGTGAGAGAAAGGTGAAGGGAATTGTCAGCACTCTAGTCTTCGGAGGCCATATTTTCTGTTGCTGCCATAATACATTTTGTGATTTAGAACAACGCAAATTTAGTATCTTATAGTTCTGTAGGTCATGAGGTCTCACTGGGCTAAAATCCAGGCCTCAGCAGAGCTGCATTCCTTTTGGAGCCTAGGAGATTCCGTTGCCTTGCTTCTTCCAGCTTTGGAGGCTTCTTCAGGCCTTGGCTTGTGGCCTTCTTCCTCCATCTTCAAAGCCAGCAACACTGCGTCTCTCTGACCCTCTTGCTGCCATTTCTCTCTGACCTCACCAGGAAGGAGTCTCAGCTCCTAAGGACCGATGTGATTAGATTGGACGTACTCAGGTAATGCAGGAGGTCCTTCACTTTAATCTCATCTGCAGAGTCCCTTTTGCCAAGTAAGGTAACATGTTCACAGGTCCAGGGATTAGGATATGGGCCTGTGTGTGTCACTGCTCTGCCACAGAGGCCTGTCTCCCAGCCTTCTCATCCTCCTGCCCCACACTTTGATGCTGTGTTTTGCTTCCTCCTCTGTCTGGGTCAGCCCAGCTCAGGACACTTTTGTGGCCTGTGAGAATCAGCCCGGAGCTGGCGTTCAGAGAAGATGGCTGTGGCGAGGGGCCAGGAGGGCCCAGCTGGGCCAGTGGGGCCTGGCCATGCTTTTCCACTCTCTCCCATGCCCTGACCTTATGTGCTGGCTGGCCCTATGATGCCCTTTCTCTAGGGTGAATTTAACCTCTTTCTGCTAAACCCCCAGATGGGATGGAGATGGAACTTTTGTACCTAAAGGCAGATGCTGGCTTGCATGACTGTAGGGGCGCCAGGAAATGATTCTCAAACACCCTTAAGTGGTGTGAGACGTAGACAGGGCTTATGGACACTTGTAGGCACCTGCTGAGAACGGATACCCGTGCAGCATTATTCTTCTTGATCTCTTCACCTCCAAGGTAGTCAGCCTCGCCTCGGAGGAAACAGCCTCAGAGGAGAAAATAACTCTCGTAGGCCTTACAACTAAGCAGAAGTGAATGACGTATCTCCTGCTTCCACATTTGGAGTTCCTTAAGGAAACACACTGCAGGCGTGTTGATAAGGATGGGGGCAGGGTGGGGGAGGAGTGGAGACTGGATTCCTCCCCCTGAGTAGAGCTGTTTCCTTTTCTGCGGAATGGGAGCGACATTCCTATGCCCTGTCGCTATTGCGAGGAATTCAAGGAGATGGTTAAAATTCTTTGTACTTTGCCAGTGGCCTTTATCACTATAGAAGTTCCACACTCAGGTGTCTTGCCCTGCCCAGGGAACCCCAGGTTTGGAGGGGGGCAGTGGTCCAGGGTGGGTCTGTGCTGCTGCCCTCAGCTTGAGGAGCATGTCTCTGAGTCTTGGGCTGAGGAGGCAGTTGGGTTGGTAAACAATAACAGTAAATTTGGGGTTTTCCTTTGGCTGGGTTGGTGACAGGAAATGCGGAGGGCTGTGAATTACAAGTGGGTGCAGTGGGTAGATCGGCCTGCTCAGGGTGTGAAGGAAATTCAGGTATTCAAGGGAGGCAGGCGGGGCTGGCGAGGCTGGGGAAAGTGGCTGTCCCATCCACTGGTGAATGTAAACAAACCCGCTGGGCATCCCCAGGTGGGCCAGAGTGGGGACGGAGGAGGCTTTGGGGTGCGCCCTCAGCCCTGGAAATGTAGCCCCTCCCTGGCTCTGTCTCTTGAAGCCCAAGTTTGGGGTCCCCAGCCACCCTGCGGGGAGTCTAGCTGAGTTTGGGAGTAACCACTCATTTGGAAGAGACACCAGTTTCCAGCTCTAGGGGGACATTTGGTACATTTATCTAGCTCTCTCCTGCACTCAATCAGACCAGCATGAAGAGACCACCCAACAAACTCACTAAATACCCAGGCACTTAGCGTATTCCTCACGCCTTGGGAAAGACAAGTGTAAGACCTAATTCCTGTTCGGTCCCTGACTAGTGAGATATGAAACACAGGTTCGGCAGCGAGAGGCCTGTCTTTCTCCACATCCACAGGATGGACACACTTTGTAGTCTGAATCCATTGAAACTGCTCCAGACACTGAGGGGTGTGTCATCCAGGCCCAGGTGGCCCAGGGGAGCTTCCTAGGGCCCTAGAGGTTTTGAGACTGGAGAGATGAGTGAGTCGAAAGAAGCGTGCCCTGGGGCTGCACCCTCTGGACGAAGCTGAGGATGACATCGGTCCTCCCCTAGCCCGGACACGTGAGGCTTACGTGCGGCTACGGCAGGACCTGGAGACGTGGAAGCGCTGTTAGTGGGTGTGCGGCGGTCGGGCTGAGCTCCTTGGGGCCACGCTTTGAGCTGGTTGGTGCTTTGGCCTCCTGGGCCAGAGCTGCTCTTTGAGAAGACTTCCCTATAAGAGTAAAGATGTCATGGTATCATTCAGCTCATCATGAGCACCTACTATGTGCAACGCCCAGTGTCCAGGATGTTGGGGTGCCGTGGATGAGTGAGAAGTGGGTCTGTCCCTCAGGGGGCTCATTCTGGAGGAGCAGATGGAGGACAGGGAGAATCAACACTCATAAAAGGGGGGGGTGGCTGTGGCCGAGACCCGGGAGCCCCTGAGGAGCCTCGCCCTGGCGTCTGAGGACAGTTGTGATGGTAGAAAATGAGGGAGCCGCATGGGGGAGGTTTTCGCACCGGGGCCAGTGTCTTCCTCATCTGAGTCTCGGTTCACCTCTTTTGCCTTCTGGTCTGAACAGCTGTCCGCTCAGCATTTCAGCTTGACTTTTAACCCCCGTCGGTTCTGTCTATGGGAAATCCGAATTACCCTCCTCAGGGGCATTCTTGGTGTTTTCGGTTCATTTTCTCTTGTCAGCCCCTCCAACCTGGATTTCCCTCATTCACCATGTTTATTTCTCCAAAACCAAAATTTGGGAACGTATGTCTGACGGGGATTTCCCCGTCTATTCTACAGTCCATTTATTTTTCAAGAAGTCTTACGAAGTTATACCTTAAATTTAGATCACATTTAGTTATACAGCTTACAAATCACTGGAGGAGAGGGCAACGTTATATGAAATTGGGGGCAAGGGTCCTTCTGGAAAATCAAAATGAATGGTGGTCAGGGCTTCCTTGCTCCTCTCACTAAAAAGCTGTGGCTCTTTGCCATCCCCGGTCATCACGGTCCTTACACCTCTCAGTATATTAAGCATGAAGCCCCCAGGAGCGTCTCTGTTACAAAAACAAGTTTTAATGTGCCCAAGCTTCCACCCTTTTTTTTTTTTTTGCACACCAGCATCTTCAGCCTAGGGTTATCTTGAATGTACATCCATCCACTGGAGGAAATAGTTCCTGCTCTGAGAAGAAGTTTCTGCCCAAAGCCTCTGGCCAAGGAGGTCTTGGCTGTCAAGCCCGCAGGATTCCAGGTGGGGCTTGGGGCAGGCGGTGCTGCTGAGAGGCCCTGGGATCTGAGAGGCACTGAACTGCCATGCAAATGAATTGGTTTGCATAACTTTCTTGCTCTAAGGGACAGTGAAGTTTCCTGCCCCATCCTACACGCCTGCCAGGATTTGCAAGTGAAATAGTGGGACTGGCTTTCCCCTTTGCCATTGTCCTCTCCTCCCAGGTCCTCTTCTGGATTTTATTTCAGTCCCTCAGGTGCTGTGTGACCAAATTCTGGTCTTAACCTCTCTGATCCTAGGGGATGAGTGTTCCTGGGCTCTGCGATGCAAAGTATCTGCAAAGGTTATGCAAATGAACCCCGAGTCTGGGTGCCTCTGGCCTGAGTCCGGGCCAGTTGCTAGCTCAGGC